ACAGATAAGTTGGTTCAGAATATAAAAGTAGCTTGCCCATTCAGCTGGAATTTTAAAAAGTAGTATCAAATCTCTTCCATCTGTGAAGACATTACTTTTGTCCTATCAATGCCAGAAGAATTATTATCCAGCTTACAGCTAAAGGTCCAGCCAACTGCAGAATTAGACTGACTTATAATAGTTCAAGGGGATATAATTACACATAACTGCCACTAATGGGGCAAAAATGAACTTCCTGCTCTTGATCCATCACCTCTGGACTGCTGACATTGGGAACTGGTCTTCAGGGTTTCATTTCCCCCTCCTACCTGGAGAAGCTGAGGCTGAACCTAGGAGAAAAAATAACCCGCTCTACCACAGTGTAACGGTCCCTCTTTCAAAGTATTATTACTTTAAAGCAGGCTTTGCCAATCTCTGCCCTCCAGATGTGGTGGGAATGAAACTGCCCACGTTCTCAGCCACGATGGGCCCCAGTTTGAAGAGAAGTGCTCCTATAATTTTTCTGATCATTCAAAGAAAAAGAACTGTCTCAGTGATCCTTGTAATAACCTTCTCTAGTTGAACACATTGAATAGCTCAGTCAAGGCTCTTCCATCTGATGACAGAAGGATGGATTAGATTTATATCACACCTTTTCTCTAGGGGCACAAGGTGGCTTACAAAGGGATCTGCTTTCATTTGATTCCAACTACCACCCTTTGAAGTAGGTAGGGCTGAGGACAGATGTCAACCTGGGTCTCTCTAGTTTTCTTCCCTGCAACATTGGTTTGGCTCTGTGGTGTTCTTCCTCTTCTGAAGTATTTCTTCCAGATTCATCATTATAAGAACATTGTAACTGTTTGAACTGTTGCCAAATACATAGGTTTTCTTTCTCGTCCCCCCCTCCTTTTTTCCTTATTGCTGTATCTTTTAGACTGTCAGAAAGGAATTTTTAAAAATGAATTTAAGTCAGTCTCTTTTGCAGTCTTGAAATAAATTAAACATACCCATGTATAAATTGGGAAGGCAACACTTGAAGAGGGGTTGATTTAAAGTAAAAGAACAAGTTCCCAGCTGAGCTAAGACCTGAAACTGAACTTCATGGACTATATCAAACTGAGAAGAGCCCAGAAAGGCTTGTTACCACATTTCTGGGGAGGCTATTAATAGGGATAAATGCAACAGCCCTCCTCAGAAACTGGAATACAGAGGTATATTTAAAGTATATTGTATCAAGGCATTTACTCTGGCAGGAGCACAAGGTGGGGAGGTGTGTAAAAAAAAATAAATAAATCAAGATTTAATTATTACATTTGTATGCCGCCCAACTCCCAACAACTCTGGGTGGCTCACAAGTTAAAACATTTTATTAGTTCTTATTATCGCTGTTAAAACTTTCAATAAAAATTATAAAAAAAACAAATAAAAGCATTTTTAAAAGATACAATCAGAACAAAAATAAGGAATAAAGATAGCAAGATGATAACAACCAGACTGGAATGGGAAAAAAGAATCCAAGGGGGCTTCACTCACCCTTGCTAAAGGCCAAGGAGAAGAGGCAGATCTTCAAGCCCCTTTGAAACACCAGTAGCCTGGGCGGGATCCAGGTCTCAGGGGGATCTCATGCTAGAGGGCAGGCATTGCTACAGAGAAGGCATGATTCCAGGGTCCCAACAGATGGCATTGTTTAACTGAAGGAACCTGGAGTATGCCAACCCTGCCAATCGGCTGGGCAGATACTATGGGAGACAAGTGGTCCCTCAAGTGATCAGACCCTATGCCATGAACAGCTTTATAGGTAACAAAGATGGCATCTATGCCTACACAATTGAAGCCGTGACCCCATTTTATGTATGCTGCGTGCTATCTTGACATCCCCCCCCCAAATTTCTGGGTAGAATCAACAGAGAGATATGAGAAAATCAGAAAGGTTTAAAACACACACACTGTTCTTCATTGTAGATGAGAATGGCATCAAGGTGCTTTCCCCATTCAGTGTTGGGTCCTTGGGAAACGTCTGGAGAAGTTTTCATTCCCATCAACAATGAGGAAGAGATATTAGAATTGTTTCCTTTTTCAGAGAACAACCTTTTGCTATTCAACAATGTATGATTCTATCTCCGGGAGCCAGTTGGGTCTAATGGTTAAAGGTACTCAACAAGAAGCTGAGTTCTAGTCTGCTGTTAGGCATGGAACTGGCTGGGTGACTTTGGGCCATAGACTGAGAGGTCAAAAAAATCTATCCACCAACCTGTACTGAACTAGCATGGTTGATTACAGTCTATAACCTTCATCCTGCAGCGGATTAATTCAGGCTGATAATAATCTCTATCAATGCTGCACATATTGTATCTTTAAACACGGTACTTTTGCTGACACCAGACATAGTAACCAGGTAACAGAGAGAATAATATTGAGTTTGGCTCAACATTCTTGGAACTGCAACCCAACACCTAGAAGGCACCAATTTGGGAAAAGATGGGCAAGATATTTCTCCAAGGATGTCTGATGGATGGCACTTGCTTGCATATTAAGGACAGCCCTAGAATTGACTGTTTTCAATCTATTGTTTTGGAGGAGGGAACCTTTTAAAGTCAAACTTGAGCCTGTGAGAGCTCCAACCCCATGCCAAAACCATACCTCACTATGACCTTAGAAGTCTTTCAAAACTACGAAATACAGTGTTATGAGGTCACCTTCCCCAACCTGGGTTTTTAGATGTTGGACTACAACAGCCAATCCTGGAGGGAATTTTAGGAACTGTTATGTAAACATTCCTGGAAGCACCGGGTTGGAGAAGGCAGTTATAAATAACTGCATCTTGAATTCTGTTAAACCAGTCAGGAAAACCAAAGGCCATAGTTGTGCTGAGGATGTTATAAGATCTGGTACTGAACCCAAATTTGATCTACCCATCCCTAAGTGCATGCAGTTGAAAGTAACCAAGAGTGCACATAGTACACAGGACATTGCCTTATATACTGTCAAAATATTTTGGCTATACTGCTCTGTCTAGCAACAGCACTGCTGGTTAGATTTCAGGCAGAGAGAGAGATCTTTCCTACACCATACTGTCCAAACTGGATCCTTTCAACAGGAGAGACCTGGAGTTGAAGAAGGGCTCTTGAGCATGCTCTAGCACAAGTTTATGGTCCTTCCTCAAAGTAGAGAAGCGTCTTAGTGAACATTTGCTATTGTGCTAGACCCTCATGTTTTTCACCGCTCAGCATATAAGTTGAAGGCTTTCACTAGGGATCTGGGCATCTTCTGGATGTGCCATACATTTTCCTCTGAAGTTCAGAAATTGTCCTGCCCCTATAATGTCGCAACACTTACCCCTTGAACCTTACCACTTCAATAAAGCAATTTTAAGCGGATACATACTACTTTTATCCCCTCCCCTCCCCTCCCAAAAGATGGTTTGTTATTAACTATTTGTTCTTATATGATGGAATCCAGCACAATTATTAGGTGTTGCAGAATTTTGGGGAAAACAACAACGGTCTCCAAAATGTGCAGAGATTACTATAGATTTCTATATGGTAACCAAAGACAAATCTGCAAGGCTTGTAGGTTGTGAGCCTATGAAGATCAACTGTGTAATCTAAATGTGCAATGATTGATTGTTTTCTTCCACAAACAGAGACCAGATAAGCACTTCTGCCATTGTTCCGCTGCCTCTTCTAACTGGCCAGAAAACACACACTCCTATACAGAGATGAGTGGCCTTCTCTTGGACCTGCAACCATCAAGGGCCCTACCACAAAGCATTCCAAACATGGTCTGCTGAGGAGTCTCCTGCAGCAAAAGGCAGAAATACAAGGATTGGTTGGTAAGTTGTCAACTTTTGCTTTCAGTTGCAAGCAAGAGAAACGCTGGCATTGCAGACATGGAAGCCCAGATACAGAGACTCCATGCTCAGGAGCCAGGGTTCAAATTATACCCCAAAGCTCATGCATGTCAGAAGCAGGGAGAGGGGAACTTAATGCAACCCCCTAATCCCTGGTGTGCTGCAATCAATTCAGTTTTACCACCCCATCTTCTCAGACCTCCTAAATCCAGTTAGCTAAGGGAAGAATCACTGAATTTAAGGAATCGACTAGGCCTCTTGGCCCCTTGGCTTGCCATCCAAGCCCTGCCAGCCCCGTAACTACTTGGTACCTCTCCCCACCTTGCAGGGAGGGGCCCCACGTCCAACCTCAAACATCCGAGATGAGGCCTTGGAGCTAAAGAGCAGGCCCATAAAGCTTGTGCCCTCCAGACTGACAGAGAGATCTTCTACCTATCAAGGCTAACTTAACAAGACCTAGATGGATATTTCTTGTTAGAGGGCTCTAGCAGCAGCCCTCCACCACGCAGGCCTTGCCGAAGAGGCTCAGAAATGGGGAGGGGGGCCATGCTTTCTCTTCCCCTCCCCCCTCCCCGCTTTCTCTCGCTCTCAACGAGGAAGGGGGCGAGGCGGATGGTGGCTTTCGGTAGGGAATTTAAGCCGTAGGGGGGAAGGACAATAAACCGGCATCGTTATCAGGCAGAGCAGTCGCTGCTTTCTTTCCTTTACGGTGTTTTAGTTACAGCCACCCGCGCCTACCACCATCTTCTTCGCTCCCCCCGGCCCCCGATCTACCCAGGGGTGGGGTGGCTGCTTTGAAAGACCTGGGAATAATAAAGACGAAGAAAGGGGTGTGCGTGTGTGTGTGTGTGAGAGATCCCATTGGAGAAAGAACCGAGAACCCCCCCCTTCTCGAATTATCCCATTGTAAGGGGGGGGCAGAGAGGAGAAAAGCAGGATGGAGGCGATGCGCGCGGGAGAGCGCTTTTCTTCTCGCCCCCCATCCCCGCTCTGCAAACACAATGGCTCCATCAAGAGGAAAGGCGAAGCGGCGGCCAGCCCTTTGCGGCAACGGGAGGGGGGAAGGGATGGGCCTTGCTCGGGGGGAAGGGGCCGCGCCGGGATCCCCCCAGGCCCTCGGCCCCCCCTCCCGCTCCCGATGAGAGGCGCCCCCTTCCTCCTTCGTACTCACCCGGGCCGGCCAGTGCGGGTAGCCCTTCATTTTGGCGAACACCAGGTCCCCGGCTTTGTATTCTCGGGGCCTGGGACGAGCCATCGGGTCCGAGTCCAGGTTTGCCCGCCCCGTCTCCGAATCCGCGGCCACCCCCAGCACCGCTCCCAGGCCTTGCCCCCGATCCGCCGAGCTGGGGAG